CGTTTATTTGATGCGTGATTTTCATAAAGAACAACTGGAAAGAGAGTGGAAAGAAAGAAATGCAGTCGGGGATAAATAAAAGTGCAAAGTAGTAAGAGAAAAATACTGGGATTCATAAAGCGCACAATATATGGGGTCAATGACTTGACTCGGCTGACTGCTGATACCAAAAAAATAAGGCATCTGTTTACGTACCACGCAACTCCTTTCTATCTTTAGAGTTGGGCCAATTTAAATCGACAAGCTCAGGCCATCTTATCCTCTCGCAAGCACACGGAAAGTCCTGGTGAGAAGGATCGGACCAGATCGGGAAGTTTGATTGGCATGTGTCTGGGTGACGAACCATCAAATGTACGACACGCTCGAGCTCGTCTATTGAATTTGGTCGGGCGTATTGGGACAGCAACCAAGGAGTCGTGGAAGGCTGACATGTGTGTTGAGCTGTTGTGGCGTATTGCTCTTGGATCTTCCGCAAACTATCCGGGTACATTGTCAACGGAATCAAACGCTACTACTGAAACCGGATCGCATACCTCACATTCCTCGCCAAGGACTTCAGTAAACGCTCCCATGCCATGTAACTACAGGCATCCCGAACCGATCGAAGCAGCTTTAGCTCAACAGCTGGTTATATTGAAAGAATTCCGGTGTTCTGGAGTGGATCAACGTATTCGTGCAATGCGTTGGCTCACTGAAGCCATGACACACGTGAGCAAGGTGAGATAAAATTTCCTATTCTCCTAAGTTTGCTTCACGTATCATCCAGGTTTTGCAAATCACTAAGTACTTCAGATCATCTCACTTTTGAACTATTTTGAAATTGGTTAGTTGATCACCCCTAAAGTCACAATATTTCGTCTTTTTGAAATTTTCGATGATGCTCCAGTGGTTCTTGAGTTTGTTCTTCATTCATCTCGTCGTCTCTAATGATGATGAAAAGGATGCTAGCCTGAGAAAAAAAATCAACAACATTGTAAATCTGTTTAAATGCTACTACTTTTTGATGCTTATTGGCCACTTCGAATATTTTCATGTTTGTATACATCATTTAATATTGATTTTTGTTTCACCTTGCCCCTAACGTTCTGAGTTAGTTTGCTGCCATCTCCTGTTATCTTTTCATGCGTGGCAATAAAATAAAAATACTGGTAAACGTCCTTTAACTTCTTGAAAATAGCTATTTTGTTTCTATAAGTGCAATGACTGTTGAGTATTTCAAGTGATTCTCTCCTTCTCTCGCCATCTTTTGTTTCGTGTATGCATAAATAAATAACCTTAAAATTTGACAGGGGTTCGTATTAGTTCGACTGATTACTGTGTTCATCTTTTGATCTATTTTTTATACGATTTTTTTCTTTTCGATTAGCTCATTGCTATTTTATTACTCCTCTGGCCATATGAATACTATTGTCATCTACCGAGGCAGAGCGTGGAATTCATTGTTGTGTTAAATTTGCCAACAAGATTCTAGGTGACGCTCTTCATCCACTGCACCCCGATTTATCGTTCCCATCCGTCCACACGCTCCTCATTGCGGCATCTACCCTCTCGCATTAACATTTATAAAATTTCCCCTGTACCCTATCTGGCCCGACTCCTAATTAAAAAGGAACAGATTGCAAGTGACCTACATCAAAAGTTTTGTACGTGAAACAAACTTCAGGGACATTCTTTACGTTGCATGTTACATGATGCATATTTCATTGCGAGTGACGAACAGTGTACATTCTTAACTGAAATTTAAGCAAATTTGCTTGCACAAGTTACACAAATACAAATAAAAATTTATTCAACTTCTAAAAAATACGATGAATAGTTTTGTTGTCAAATATTAAAAATTTCATGGGAACCTACTTGAATGGATTGTCCTCATTTCTGGTTCGCCTCAACGACGAAGTGTACTTTATTTGCCATAATATACTGGTTTGAATGGGAATAAGAATGTCCTCGCCCTCATGTTCCTAAGATCACTGATACTACGCTCTTGTAGTTGATTTACCGTTTGTTGAGAAACAATCCAGATAAATCTATTTTCCTGGGGTTAACATCTGTGGCGCCGTCCGCACATCCGATTATCTGTAAAGGGTCGAGTGTATGCTGCAGCGGTTTGGCCAGTGCTGCGTTACGGTGCTGAGATTTGGCCATTACGAGACCAGGATAAAGAAGGATTACCTGTGTCCGAACATCGCTATCTACGCCGCATTGCACGAGCCTGATGGGACAACCAGGAAAGTAATGCCGAGGTTAGGTGTAAAGTTGTAGGTGACCGCGGTTGGCCGCTCGACCAAGTCAACCTCCACAGATTACGGTGGTTGGGATATATCACCAAATAAGTCGCCACAACGCGTGATGTTTGTCGAGACAGGTAGTGGATAGAGAAAAAGCTAAAAGTGGTCAAAATCTTAACCAGGAGCTTAGGTCATATAGGCCGCGTGAGGCTCCCGAGATCATGGTAACCGATGGTTAGAAAAACTGAAAGATATGGCTGAGAGTCACGACAGTGACGATCGTGCATCTACTCTCTGTCCTTACAATCCCTATCTATATAATTTCTGTATCTCCTCTTTGACTCTGCTCCCATTTTTACACTAACAGGAAAGGCAATGGAGGAAGTGGAAATATTCTGCTCTTTGGGTGACTACATTCTCATTGACAGATTAAATTTCGGCACGAACACAGTAGGCTCGGTTAGCGTTTTCCTTTCGCGCTGTCGGGATATTCGATTGGTTGTGAAGCGTCGACTGTATTCTACATGTTGTTTCTCCGGTTCTTCTGTGTGGCGCAGAGCCACAACCATCACAGGAGAATAATAACGGATTATCGGTGTCGAAACAATGCAGCTTACGATTCATTACATGCTTCTGGTGCGACAATCAGACAAGTAATGCCGAGGACATACGCACAATTTCAGGTTGTAACGGTCGCGCACTAGAGAAAGCACTCGACTCCATAGATTACGTTCTACGGACCGTGTTACGCGTGTCACCGGATAGACTTTCTCGGTTTGTCATGTTTCCTGAGGCAGTTATTGAGTGAAAGAAAATAAAGGTGATCAAATTTGACATTAGGGTAAGGAGACCCTGATGCGGGCTCCCGGTCATATAGGTGGCTTTAAGCTTCCTGGTTAAGGATTTCGTGACCAACCTAACCAAGGAATAAGGATACTTAGTTTCAAGATTGTGTGTCGTAAGCAGTTACATCCGGTCGAATTCAACACAGTTCCAGTTGCTGCATTTCTGTTCGTTTTTGATTTAGCCTTTCCTTCAAATGGTTCACTGAGAGGTGTAAACATCAACAGGTTTTAAAGATAGAAACTTCCGCTATGGCGAACGTTCATCATGAGGTTTACGCAAATCAGGTGAACTTCACAAACGATTTTGAATACTGGATTAGCAATCCTTTGATGTCAAACTCTTTCATTTCATTCCATTACAGAATTCGTTGACATTTTTCATGTTGGCTTACGTGAAGTCGTTGGTGGAACTTATTCTGAAAAACTTTGTTGGACGTGCGAAGAGAGTAAGCTGATGGTCATTGTAACTATTATGATTGTGATACTGTCTAGTAAATATATGCCCCGTCGTTTGCAAAATATTTACTGTTTCGTGGCGTGCCATTTCGTAATAGATTGAGTTAAATCATTTGCAGTTTGGGTTGCAAATTTTTAATAACCATCGAGTTGAACAGAGCAATAACACTCCTGTATTGCTTTCTAATCTCTACAGAATTCTATTTTTGATGCCGCGGTGCACATAAGATTGTTCGACCACTTTATTGATCAAGACATTCGGTTAATCGATGGCTAACTCGCGCCGTTTTTGTCATTCTATTGCATTTGTGAACATCTGTTTACACTTTCATACCTGTCCAACGAGTAGTTTTGTAGTAGTTTTTTTGTAGTTTTTATCTTACGAGAGTGAGCAAATCTAAGATTATCTTAACTATTTTCTAAATGCTTCAGTTCCAGGTATGTAAGTTATCCGTGCACAAAAAAACAACATGAAAGATGTTCGAAATATCTGATGCCATTTTATTGATCGCACTTCGTTACATAACAACAGAGCTGATTAGAATCTGGCTCAGACGGTTGGGGAAGTAAGATCTTTGGTCCTAGTTATGGGCTCCTTTGGGCCTAATTTAGAAGTAACCTTCTGTGACGTTCGTTATCCAGTGGAAACGATATCTCTGAAAGATTCCCATCACAGCATTTAGAACAAACATCAGTTTGAAGAAACAGTTGTTTTTCAGTAGTTCCTTCGCAAGCCGTTTACATATTACATAGGTAACGTTAGAAAACAGATCAGACAGTTAGGCACATCACCAATCATCGGTAAGAGTTTGTCATAGTCAATTGGCATTTGTCATTTGATTGGTTTAACTAAGTTACGGCATCAGGGTGACTGGACGGCGGACATACTCGGCATCGATCGATCACGGGCCGTGGAAGTTGGGAGTGACTGAACCAAACGCTTTTGGGTGCACAGGTCAGGGGTCAACTTTCTTATCCCGATCGCTTCGGTTAGTGCTAGGGTGCGCAGTTG